ACTTTGGAAACAAGAAGGGGGGCCAGCATAGAGTGGAAGCTCCTGGGGTCTTTCTCAAGGGCAGGGAAGATGCCACCCGAACTGGGGCCCCTTGGGAGAGGGGGAGGAGACAGCTGCATACAGCTCAGGCTATGGAAAGGTCACGGGGGAGAAAGCAGCCATTGTGTGCCACTGGGGAGCGGGGGGCAGGGAGCCTCTCTCCCAGGACACTGTGCTCTGCCCAGTCCCCCGCCCTGCCTCCTGTCTCAGGAAGCCCTGCCCTGGAGTGGGGGGTGGCTCTCTGCCTTGCCCTATGGTATCAGGGAATCCAGCAGTGGACCCCCTAGGGGAGGGCTCAGGGTAATGAAACCCTCTCCAACCAGAAGGTGAATCTCAGACCCTTTCCCACAAGGACTTCCATCAAAGTTCCCTATAGAGGAGACTCTGTAGTCAGGGTGCAGCCTGGGCTCTGCCGACAGTGAGTGTCTCCTCCACGACATGGAAACAGGAAGTGAAAGAGGGGTCTCAGCTCTTTGAGTCTGGTCTTCTTAGGCATTCTCCAGCAAAAAGGGCAACAGAGGGCCGCACCAGATGCCCACTGCACACCTTCCAGGGGGCTGACTGCAGGGGCCCAGGAAAAAAGCACCCCACCATCTGTGCCAAGAGGGGGAGCCCTAGGGCACATGTCAGTGTTGGCTCTACACAGTGAGGGACCCCAGAAATGGAAAGCTCCCTCCCTCTATTCACAGCCACCACTGGGTCAGGGGTCTGCCCACCACACCTCCGGCAGCCCAGGCAGGAAGCTGGAAATGACGCAGCCTAAATTCCTCTTGTTGAAATGGTGGGGTTTCCTGTAAGTGGGGAGACGCCCAGGCCAGGATCATAAATGGGCTGCTCTGAGGCCTCCACCACAAGCCCACAGTCCTACCAGAGAAGCCAAGCCTGAGAAGACTGACCAGATATCTAGGGCCAAACCAGACATGGTGAGCACCTGAGTATGGTAGTGACCGAGAGGCCAGGATCCAGGAAATGTGGCCCAAGGCTTTGGCTGGCACTCTCCCACCTGGGAGGGTCCTTCCCTCTCCTCCACAGGGGCACTGACCTGGTCTGGGGTATACTGGTGCCAGCTCAGTTCTGGGTGGCAGAGACTCTACCACCTACTCCCTATACCCAAGGGGTCCTTGGCCTTACCAAAGGCCCTAAACCCTACCTAAACCAGTTCCTAAGCAAAAGCACCAGGAAGGGATTCTGAACATTGTAGCTTAAGGTTACGGGACCCTTATGCCCAATAGGATCCCTGGATCAAACTTGGAGCGGAAGGGACAGAGAACATAAGGCTTAGGGGATGTGGTGGCCTCCTCAGTATTCTGCCAACCCTCTATGTCAGTCAGGGTGGAGTTCTGGTATGTGTGAGCAAGTGGCAGGAGAGGTCCTGGGATAATGTTAACCAGTGCCAACCTCATGGAGGCCTCTACTGAGGTGAATTCATGTCACCACCCACAGCCACTCTAGAGCTGGGACAGGTCTGCTATATTAAAGGCCAACTTCTCCTGAGCTGGGACCAGATCTTCATTAGACAGGAGGGAGAAGCCCACTGTTGTGAAAGCTGGCAAGAGTGATCCATGGGGAGAGAGATTAGAACAGTGGTTACCTCTGGCGGAGGCAATGGGGGGGGGGTGATGAATGGGAGGGACAAGAAGCCCCACAGAGTGATAGAAATGCTTTACTGTTGATCAGAGTGGTGGTTACACACACACACATATATACACGCAAAAAGTCATCAGGCTGAACAGAGAGGTGCAGGCACTTTGCTGTACGTAAGTTATGCCTTAACAAAGGAGGAAGAAAGTCCATCCTTCGCCCCCACCCCATAGTCCACATTATGAAGAGACAAATGAGCCTGCAGGTTCCCAAATGTCCCCAGCTGGTGGCCAGCCTTGCTAATCCAAGTGCCTATGGGATGGGCATCTTGAGGTGTTCACCCGTGTCCAGGGTGGCTGAAGCGGAAAGGTTGGGATGGAGGCTGCTGGGGTAAGGAGCAGGCCCATGAGAGCTGGGCTAGGACTGGGGCAGGTTGAGTGGAAGGGAAGGAAGGAGAGAACACACACTCTTCAGGGTTCCCTGACCCCTCTTGGATGCCCAAAGCAGGCAAGGACACAGATGGTGCCTGGCGAGCTGGCACCAGCTCCACCGCAGCCATGGCATGTCTAGCTGTCTCACAACATACTCACACTTGTCCCTTGTGTGCCCAGGCCTGGGAGCAGAGGGAGGATGGGGCCCTCTGGAGTCAGGCTGCATCCTATCTTTCACCTCCAAGGGCCCCCAAATTAACAAAAGGGCCAGGACCCCACTCCTAGGTCTGGGGCTGCAGGGTTCCTTTCACAGTGAGAGAAGCCTATGATTCTGGGTAGAGGCATATACCAAGTGGGGGGCTCTGGGTCTGGGCTCCAGTCCACTGATTACCCTCATGCCCCTTACCTGGGCTGCTACAGTTCCCAGACTGAGAATGCCACTCCATGCATCCCAGGGTGAGGGTATGGGGTAGCCCCAAGCAGCCAGCTGGGGTCCTGAAAAGCAATGCAGACACTTGGGAGTGACTGCTATGTGCCAGACAGTTTGCTAGGTGCTGGGTTGGGGTGATGAGTAAGACTTTGTCAGCACCCTGCCCACCTCACCATCCTCACCTTTCTTGCCACCTGCCTCTACCTGACCCGTATTCTGGATTAGGGGAAAAGGAGGTACCTGGGGCACAAATGTCTCTGTGGGATGAGGACTGGGTATACAAGCTGGGCATTCCAACACATCAGATACACAGCACTCTTCCCCAAGGCCATTGGGCATCCAGAGGCCACAGCCAAACAGTGGAATGCAATGGAGAAAGAGCAACTTTCTTGCTGATGCTGGCCTATGTCCCTCCAGCCCAGAATCAGGCCCCGACTTGGAGATGGGACAGTCCTCAAAAAACATTTCCACTCCAACTTCTCTGCTTCCCAGCTGAGGAAACTGAAGCCCAGAGTGAGGAAGTCTTGCTGTGAGTCAGAGACAAGGCTGGAAACAAAGGCAACAGGGGCTCCCCTGACAGGGTATCTATTTGTTAAGAACCCCTCCCAGCCTACCCACCCCCGCCCATGCCCGCCCAGCAAAGGGGCAGAGCAGTCGAGGACAGACATATAGAAGGCAAGCTCTCCTCTTAGTCCTCCCATCCCCACCCCCACCTGCAGTCAGGGAAAAGGGGCCACAGTTTCTAGCTAGTAGGGGTTAAGAACACATACCCCCAAGAAACCCCAGCTTCTTTAAGGCTCTTTAGACCATGACATACTCTGGGAGGAGGCATCAGAGTCTTAACCACCCAGAGTACCATGCCTCTGCCAGGCACCCACAGTTCCCCAATTCTCAAACTTGGAGCCGTCAGAACCACCAGCATCTGTGGGTCTAACCTGTTGGGGTACTGGGTCTGTCCAAAGGATAGCTGGAAGTTAGGGGCCCACAAAACAGCACCCTGCACTGTCACACTTAATTGTGCCCACAGTCCCCCTGAGCCTGCTCAGAGGTCTCCCAAGGAGTTAGCTCCTTTTCTAAAGAGAGGATGGACAAGGGCCAGCTGCCAAGCACCATCACTGGCAGTGTCCTCCCACAACGTAAGGGAGCAGACTCCCAGGACACCACTTCCTCAGCAGGTCAGGGGGCTTCACATCAGTGTGGACCTGACTCTGCTGGGAAGGAGAAGGGAAACACTAAAGTAAATAGAGTGAGGAGGCAGGCCAGGAAGCCAGCCAGATCTGGGGTATCTAGGCACCCCTTAGTGCTGTTCCCTACCCACTTCTGGCCAGACTGGGCTACGGGACCTGAAGGGGTCTGTGTTCAGCCTGGGGCAATGCCAAGCCCATCTTCCCAAGCAGGCCTTAGTGAAGCATAGGAAAAGCAGAGTCTACTTGCTCCTAGTCACCAGGTGGCCTGGGGATGCCCCAGGGGAAGAAGTCAAGGCTCATACTGGCTCTGACCACCAGGCCCTACAAGGAGCCCCAGTCTTGGGAACCAGGGCCAGGGAGTCCTACGACTAGCTACTCCCTCATCTGCTCCCGAAGAAACAGTATCCAGGTCCCGTGGCCCCTCTACCCAGCTCTCTGCCCCTTGCCCTCCACTACCCCCGCGAGCGTGCCGACCATGCAAGCAGCAGGTGCAAGACGCGGGGGTGGCACTAGAATGACACAAAACCACACTCGCCCCCACCTCCTAAGCCCTGTCGGCCTCGCCACAGCCCTCCTGCCATCCGAGGCTGGCGCTTCCGTTTGGGTACAGAGATGGGAGTGGGGGGGAGAGCAGCTAGCTGTCCGCCTCCCTCAGACTGAGGGGTGGGAGGCGGCGCCGGGAATGTCCTTCCCCACTTGTCCACGGACGCGAGGGAAGACGGACCCCCGAGCCGGCCCTCCCACCAAGGACGCCGCTCCGTAGCAGCCGGGGCGGGGGCCAAGGCCGGAGGCCGCAGCCCCCGGCCCAGCCCCGCCCCGCCCCCCGGCCCCGCACGGCGCTCCCGCCAGGCCCCGGCGCCCGCCCGGCGGCGGCCTCGGCGCGCGGCCCGCCTCCGGCCCGGCCCGCTTACCCGGGGCGCTGCAGTCCGCACACACCTCCGCTCGCGGCCCCTTCCGGGACATCCTCAGCGGCGACGCGGCCACAGCCCTCAGGGCCAGCGTGGGGGGCGCGGGCGGCGGGCCCGGGCGGCGGTGGCCCCTGCTGCCCGGCCCGGCTCCGGCAAGGCCCCGGCTAGGCTCCGCGTGCCCGGCCAACCGTCCGCCCTGGGGGGCTGGCCCGGAACCCGCCGTGCCCGCCTGCCCGCTCGCCCTCGGGCGCCCTCCGCCCCGCGCCGCCCCGCGCCGCCCTGCCGCCGCTCGCCGCTCGCTCTCTCCGCCCCCTGCGCGGCTCCGGGCCGCTCCTGCAGGAAGCGGCGCAGGCCCTGCCCACCGAGGGAGGGGCAGCCTGCGTCCCCGCCCCGCCGCCGGGCCCCGCCGGCCGCGCCTCCCGGAGAAAGGAAGCCGGGAGCGCGGGCGGGAGAGGGAGGGGGTGCTTAAAGGGGCCGCGGCCGCTGCCAGGCCAGAGGGGGCAGTGTCGCCTGCGGCCCCCGCCATCCCTCTGGCGCTCTCCTGGCAGGATAAGTCACCCTCACAGTACCATCCTCTTCACTCTAGAACTGGAGAGTGGCCCACGGAGCGTGGGTCCAGGGACAGTGACCCCTGGGATCAAGGAAGAAAGTAAGGAGCTGGAGGCCCTGGTCCCCGCTTGTCAAGGGTCTGCGGTTTGGGGTACCCGCCTATCTCTCTTTGGGGTGAGGAGTGCTCCCTGGCCCCCCATGTGTCCATATTTGTGTGTCCAGGTGGAGTCACACCCTTTCTGACTGCACACCGTCAACAATATGGACGCCCAGGTGCCAGAGAGGTCGTGCAGCGTATCCCTCTGCCTCCGGGCTAAAAATACATCTATGCCTCTTTCATGCTTCTATCTGAGCAGTTTTTAAAGACCTCCCAAGGAGTGACCACTGTGCGCGTGTGCAGTAATATCCATTTGGCATATGCCTTGTATACATCCACGGTGTTTCTGAGCACCAGAGGTGTGTGTCCAGGGTGTGTAAGTATAACATACAGGGACATTTTTCTGTGATGGCCTTTCTTCTTGGACTTGACACCAAGACTCTGCGGAGTAGGGGGAGCTGATCGGGATCCGAGGCGCAGTTCCCACGTGGGTGTACCCCTGCACTGAGCATGCTCCCCCATACACGTGTGTCCCGCGTGCACCCAGCCCCCATCCCTGCAGCAGCAAAAGTCCAGAGCACCCTGCTTCGGAGGAGAGGGCAGGGGTGCCCAAGAATAGACCCGGGGGCCAGGCCAGCAGTGACACGATTAAGGGAGGGTTCCTAAGTGATGGGGAGTCCTGCTCATTAACAAGAAGGAAGAGGCTAGTCCTTGGGCAGGGGTGCGGTAGTTGGTCTGTTTTATCCCAGCGGTGCCAGAGCAGCAGTGACTTGTGGGTGGGCAGACTACTTCCCTGGGGGAGACAAGTAATGATCATGAGTCACATCACCCGAAATACATGCAAAGCTGCCTCCATCGCCTTTCGCTGCAGCCCAGATTGACAAGTTTGTTTGCAATCGCGATCCACGGGGTATATTTATAATCTCACCTTAAAAAAATGTTGCAGGCCTCCCCTCCCCCCACAGCCAGTGCTAAGCTGGTGGGTCTTCTGCAAGCAAAGATACGGGGCGGGGGACACGAGACGACACGGCGGGGGAGGGACACGAGTCGGGACACACCACCTGCCGCCCTGTGCTGCATCCACACCAAGGAGTCTTTGGGCTTGGTAGCCCCAACCCTGGCTATGTGAGGGGCTGGGAGCACAGCCCAAGAGTGGTGGCCGCCCGATCGACCCCCAGCTATGGAATTTCATTTATTAAATATCGAGGAGGCTGTTGGCAGCCCCAACGCTTGGCTGTCTTTTGTTTCTTTGCTGTGTGGGCGCGTCTCAAGCACGTGGCAGCTGGAGCGCACAGGCCGGAGGAAAAGCGACCTGGGTTTTCAGTGCAGGGCCTCCAGACAAAAGTGAGCCCGGCTGCCCAGGGGATAGGCCCCCCCAATCCAGGCTGAGCTCCACCCCCACCCCCTTCCTTGAGCTCCAAGATTTTTCAGGGAAAGAGGGATGATTCATCCCTTCTCCCCTCCCAGCCCCGGCAGCCCCATCTGCTGGTTGGCCCAGGGACTACCTGGGAGTGGCCCAGGGACGCAACCACGCTCCAAACTTTGTTCCGGAAGCCCCCAGCCCCGCCACAGCCCGGCTTCTGGTCCTGGGGCTAGGGATAAAAGGGTTTCCCTTTGGAGATGTCGCCACCTCAGGAAGCAGGACAATTAAAGAGAAATCAGACACAAGGTTCTACAATTTAATGAGGAAATGTGTTGGCATTCTCCCGGCCTCCCCTAGCAGTCCCTCCCCTGCTCCAGCCACCTCCCCAACTCTCGCCGCAGCCGCGACACTCTGCTGACCCCTCGTGGTAGAGGTGGGCAGCGGTCCCAGGCTCCCGGAGGCTCCCGCTGGCTCTTCCCAGGCTGCAGAAAGGGGCGAAGCGTCCACTCCTACCTCCTCCTTTTCCCGCCGGAGCCTGGCACCGCGGGGTGTGGAGGAGGAAGGAGAGAAGCCTGCACAAAGAAACCTGGGAGAAGCGAGGAGAGTTTGTAAGCTTTTGCTAGCACCTCCCACACAAACACTTCTTGGATTATTCTAACTGGGCTGCTATGGAATCCCTTATTCCTGTCTTGTTCTACGGTGGACTCCAGAAGGCACTGTGCTTGGTCCTACCACCTGTCTCAGTCGCTTGGTTGGGGGAGGGATGCTCCGTTTCCAGGGCAGTTACTATCGTTAGCTCACCTCACCAGGGAGTATTTAGAGTTTCGTTTTAGAGGTGACTGGTGTGAGAAAACAGAAAATGTAAGCAATTTAAATAAAGTCAGTCATTTGTTTAGAAGGAATTTGAACTCAGGTCCCTCTAACATCCCAGTTCCTCTCGGAGGACTTTATCTAGGTGGCCCCAGAGGCCAAGGCCAATCCCACTTTTGCCACAGACTCTGCAGTGATTTTTTTTTAAAGTTTGAATAAAAGAGGGAATTTATTAGAAGGGTAGGAAGGTTCTTGCACGGATTCCAACAACTGTAATAGGTTAATAGAAGCATACCTTTCTGAAGGACAGGTCATGTTGTCATCACAAACTTCTATTTCTGGATTTGTCCTGGACGTTAATCCTCCATGTATAGTGCATAAGGGAACTCCTTGTCTTGGGGTTATTCAGGAAGGAGACAGTCTCTGGAATCAGTCACTTCCTCTCCTGAGGGGACCACAAGCGGTGGAGGTGGGAGCTGCCACCTGCTGCTTTCTCTGCCCAGTCCCACTCTGATCCTTGCAAAGGACAGCATATGGGGGTAGAGGGCTGTGCTCCCAGCCTTAATGGACATTCTCTTTCTAATGTCAAGTGTGGAAGATGGAGTTTAATTTTATAAAAGGGCAGGGAAGACTCCTACGTATCATTTCAAGTGCCAGATCTCTGCTGCCTCCAATGACCTTTGGAATCATTGTCCTGCACCCTTCTCGGGTGCCCTCTCATCAGTCACTCTTTTCTTGAAATGTGATCCCTCTTCACATTACACGGGGACTCAAACTCAATCTTGAAAGATATATCTAACCGCACCTCCTAATGCTTGAGAAAGGCCTGTAGCCCCTTCCCTCCCCAGCAAAAGGCAAAATGCCAGAGGGTGGGGATGCATCCCAGGCCCTGGTGTTAGGACACTGCTGCCGTTCGTTCCCGTCAGGCCTGACTCCCCATCCTCTCTTGGTATCAGGGGGACAGTGCGGAACCCTCTCCGGCCACCTGCCATCCCCAGTTCCACTAGGCGGACTACAAGCCCCATGATGCCGCGGGGCCGAGCTTTAACTAGCTCTGCCCGGGGCGCCCGGGTCCCCTCCTTTTTCTCCCGCATCCCCGCGGCTCTTGTCCGCCGCTCGGGCTGAAGGCTGGGCTATGTCGCCGTGGGGTGCCGGGGGCTGCGGGCTCGCGTCCCTGCGGCGGCTGCAGTGTCCCCAGGGCCCGCGCCCCTCGCGCCCTCGCGCCGGCGCCGAGCGACGCCTTTGTGTGCGGGGGTGTGGGAGGCGAGGCGCGAGTCCGCGCCGCGCCGCCGAGTGCCCGCTCCCTCCCCGCACGGGTGGGGGCCTCTCCGCGCAGCCTGCCGCCGCCGCCGCCGCCGCCGCCTGGCGAGGACGCCCGCGGCCCGCGCAGCCCGCACCGCGCCGCCCCCGCCCGCCGGCAACGCTTGCACATGCCCGAGCCGCAGCTCTGCGAGCAGGCAGCGCCGGCCCCCCGCCCCGCGGCCCCGGGCCCCGGCTCCGGCGCCGTCTTTCCTCCCGGGCCGGGCCCCGCGGCCCCGGCATGAGGAGCGGGCGATGATCCCCGCAAACGCCTCTGCCAGGAAGGGGCCCGAGGGCAAGTACCCCCTGCACTACCTCGTGTGGCATAACCGCCACCGCGAGCTGGAGAAGGAGGTCCGCGCGGGCCAGGTAAGAACGCCGTCGGGGAGCCACGGGGACCCCGGGCACGCCCGCCTGGCGTGGGGAGGGGGCGCGGCGCGGGCTATCCCGCCTTCCCGGCGAGTTTGCAGCGCTTCTTTGTTCGCGGCCGCCGCTTTTGTGCTTCTTGACCGGAATCATGGCAGCGGCCCCCGCCCGTTTCCGCTGGTCTGGACCGACGGCCCACACGTGTTGCGGACCACCTCCCAGATTGGGTAGGGGACACTGTGCCTCTCCTCCGCCGGAGCTGCGGGGAGGGGCTGCCGGCTCGGTCTGTGCTCACTGTGGGAGAGTCCGCCCGCTCAGCCGAGCAGCGACACCTCCCGTGAGGGTGCGGAGGTGGGTAAGGCCTGAGTGTGTGAAGGGGGGTGGGGGTCATTGGTCAAGGATCAGAGAATAGGTTGTGACCTCCCTGGCATCCCAGCCCCACCCAGTGCCCTCCACCCTCACGGTGAGCTCCTGGTCTGTTTGCCCAGACTGACAGAGCCCCTGGATCCCTCAGACCTCGGCCCCCGCTCGGGTTGGGGAAGAGAAAGAGACCCCCTTCGGGAAGCCCTGAAGGGCCTTGTCCAGGCGCTGAAAGGTGCTCTCCTGCCCTCTGGTGCTAGGGCCTGACTTCTAGGTGCTGAGGAAGCTAAGGGCCACTGGCCACAGGGAGGATTTGAGGTTCTGCCCACAGAGCAGCCTCCCTGGTTCCTGCTAGTCAGTGAGAATTGATGGATCAGCCAGCTTTGGCTGGGCAGTGGCCTCCAAGAAGGTGGGGTAAAGGGATGGAGCCTCCTGGCCATTCTAACAGACCGGGGCAGCCAGGGGTCATAGGTAGTTCTCAACTCTGCCTTTGGCCCCCAGGCCACAGGTAGGCACTTGTGGCATGGACGACCCACCCTCCAGTCTGGGGAAGCAGGAGCCAGAGCTGGGCCAGCCTGCCCTGGTCTGCCTCAGGGGAAGGCCTGCAGACTTGGCCAGGTTCTGAGGCCCAGGGGAGAGGTCCGCTCAGGAGTTGCCCCCTTTAGGAATATACCTTTTGAGGGCCACTTTCTGAGCCACAGGAAATTCAGTTTGAGGAGCTGTCTGCTTCCCAAGGGACGAATGAGGTGGAGAGCGGGACATCAGCGGACAGTGAGGGGGGTGGGGTTTGCAGTGTGTCTCTGAAGTCCACCGTTGGGCCCTCAGACCAGCGTGGCATCCAACTTGGAAAAGCAGCCCCAGGAAATGTTGGGGTGGCCTGAGTCTCCATGCCTCTGGACTGACCGGAGTGTTCCACTTCTGTTCTACGTCTGCTTACACACGGGTGCTCCAAGTTGCTCCTCAGACCAAGTCTCTATCTATCATAAAGGAGTGGTTTGCAGCCGTGAATGTCTGGTAAATGAAGCAAGGGCAGAGGAGTAGGTCCTGGGGGACAAAGATGAACAAATGAGGCATAGCCCTGCTCTCAGGAAGACCCCGTTGTGGTGTGAACAGGGAAGTACGGTGTGGTGTGCGTGGTGGTGAGACACAGTCAGTCCGGTTTCTTCTGGTTTTTCTCTGGTTTCCTCCCCAGAGGGCAAAAGAAGACAAGCCAGGTTACATTACAGATGACAGAGCTTACAGCTGGAGGGATTTAAGTCTGATCTGAGAGGAACTTCCCAATGGGTTGGCTTGTTAGGCAGAAGGCTAGTAGTGGCTGATCTCCAGAATGCCTCAGTGACACTCCCCTGCCCAAGGGTTGGGTGGTCCTTTTCTTGCCAAGATTGGAGAGAGCCAAAATGTGTAGAATCAAAGGCTCTTTCACACAGGCCTCTCTGACTGATGGTCCTGGGGTCAGCAGCCCTCCTGCTGGGGTGAGCCTGGGATGGGGAGCCCTGGAGCACACTGTGGGCAGGAGTGGTGTGGGGCCACTGAGCCTTCCTCTTCTGCTTCCCTGAGGCTGCCACAGAAACCAGACTCGCCCCTACCCCCACCTTCCCATGCCCCCACTGTGGTGAGTTAGTGTCTCCTTGAAATGGACAATGCTTGCCCTGATCCAGGGTAGGAGGCATATAGAACACTGGTTGAAATTAACCTTTTTCAACCACAAAGGAGTCAGGAGTCGCTCTGAGGGTGCCAAGGAAAGCAGTGCCAATCAGTCTGGGTAGAGAGGCTTCTGGGTGGGAGAGGACTCTGGGGGAGAGACCTCTGTCTATATCCCGACTCCAGGGCTGACCCGGAGCTAAGCTTGTCCAGATATGCACTGCTCACTCCTCAGGGTATTGGGTGCCCAGGGAGAGCTGAGGATGCCCAACCCAGCTATTTCCTGCAGGGGATGGTTCTCAGGCAGCCACCTAACACCACAGTGAAGCCCCATAGACCCCAGGCATCCAGGCGGGGTTCCTTGACCTCTGGTCCTCCTGGTATCAACTGTCACAGAAAACATCCAGTCTGTCAAGCAAATGGCAGCTGGGTTTCCCTGGTCTTCACTTGGCATAGCTGCCTCTTCACTCCAAGAAAGCCATGCAGAGGCCCTCCCATGGGCAGGCATGGCAGTGCTGGCTGGCTGAGTAGGGGGTGGCATGGCAGACTTCAGAGAAGGTTCGTGGGTTTTGCTCAGCCCCTTTTCATCCCCGCAGCCTTGATCTTTTGAGGTTTGCAAGCAGGGAGTGGTGAGGAGATGGGAGATGCCCAGCAGGTGTGTTTTAGTGAAGTGAAGGGTCTGTGGCCACCCTTAGCTGGCACCTGACAGTATGATGGTTGGTGGGTGCCCTGCTTTCTCCCATGCTCATGCCCTGCCAGGTTGGGAGGGGCAGGGGCTTGAGGCCAGTGGACATGCCAGTTCCCCCTTGGCTGGTGAGGCCCTGAGGTTGGCACAGCCAGCTGGCCATGGCCTTGGTTCTGGAGTCATGAGTCCCTGGCTCCCTGGGGGTTCGGAGGTGGAGGTTACACTATATAGCTCCCTGTGGGAGGGGAATAGGATTCTTCCCCAGCAACAGGTACTCCAGAGGTTTCAGAGACTGGTTTCAAAAAAACATTTTTTTCTTGAGGCTGTGTCTGCCATGGTCCTCCTTCCTGCTTTCCCTACTTCACCCTTCTGACCTAGAAGCAGGAAAGATGGGGTGGCACCCTTGGATGCTCAGAGGCTGCCCCACCAAGGTACCCATTGTGTGCAGGAGCATCTGTGACCCCTCTCCCCCTAAAGTGGGCAGTCCCGGGTGTGGGCCATCACCACAACTGGTGAGGTGGGAAGCTCAGTAGAGGGAGCTGCAAACCCCAGAAACCAAAAATCAATGTCTGGGATGAGGGGGAGGGGCTGCATGGGGCAGGATGGAGGGAATCAGCAGGTGCCACCGCTACCGCCCAGCTCAGCGTGAGGAAACATCCTGCCTCCGTGCCCTCTGGTGCACTCAGGCTACCTGGTGGGAGAGCTGAGAAGCAGTGGCCACATCAGCCTCTGGCTGTTCTCGCTGGGGCTGAGGGAGGGAGGAGGGCCAGGAAAAGAGACAAACGCTGAGCAGGCCAGGCCCCACACTCAGGGCCCCTCACCTTTCTTCTCCAGCATCTGTACTCAGGCTGTACATTTGGTGTGTCCCTGTAAAATTTCACCTAAGAAAAGGATTCCACTAATGCTCAACATGTTAGAAAAATACCCTGCTAGCGCTGTTCAAGGGGTATGCATGTGCAGACACGCTGGCAGCAACCCGTGTGGGACGCAGGAGTAGATACATGCCTGTAGAGCCAGAGGGCAGCTGGGGTACGCTCAGGGGTGCACATGTACTGTGAGTTTAGAGGCAGACTGTGAATCCTTATGATGCCTCTGCACATGTGAGTGGGAGCAGGGAGGCTCTCTGCCCAGGGAGCCCCAGCTCCTGGGTTTGAAGACCCCTGTGTTTGACTCCTGCTGAGGCCTGCTGAGATGCAGTTTCCCTTCTCTTGGTGAGGAGGGCTGGGTGTCGGGTTTCTTGGGAAACCTTTTCATTCCTGCAATTAAACAGCTGTAGGCCTTTGCTGAGTAAATTAATGAATTCTCCTGCCTGGGCCTGGAGCAAGGCACCACTTATACTTTAGGCCCTGCTTTGGGCTGGTTGCGGGAATTTCTCTGTCTTGGCTGGGCGGATGCAGGGCCCATGTTGGCCCTGGAAAATGGCAGTGCTTTGGGGAAAGCTGTCGGGAGAGCTCTGGAGGAGTGGGCGTGGGGAGGGCCCCCCCCTGCCCAGCGAGCAGGGCCAGCCTCTCTCCAGAGCCTGGGGCTGGGGCACCCGAGGGGGAGGTGGCAGGCAGCACCTGGAGCCTGGGACTGGGTGGGGTGCCCTGCCAACTCCCTGGGGCCTTGTTAGCAGCAGCAGCGGGTGGAACAGGGGGAGGCCTGGAGGGCTGGGCTGCAGTGCCATGGGAAGGCCACCTCCTTACCCCTTCAGCCAGCTCACGGTCTGTGTATCTTCCGCATTCCCACCCCAGGGCTCAGGACCCCGCTCAGGCTGGACCCCAAAGGGCGCAGTCCAACCGGGAAGGGGCAAAGATTAAACAGTGCTCTCTCTCCTCTGTGGGGAGCTGGTGTAGACAAGCAGCAAGGGGTTGCTCACATCTCCAAGCCACAGCTCAGAGGCTCCAGGGCCCAGGCACGCTCTTTGGGGGGGGGGGGGGGGGGCTCCTTATATGTTTTAAAATGATGAAATGGCCAACCCAGGGTTCTAACTAATTTAAATTATTTACAAATTATTACAAAAATTAAAAAAATTTTGTGACTAATTTAAATTATTTAAAATGTTTTATTTTTGACAAAGGAGTTCATACTCACGTTTTAAAATATTTCACTGTTGCTAGAAAACTGATGAGAAGCAGCAGTCCTCACTCCCTCTTTACCTCTCTGCTTCCCCAGAGGCAACCACTTTGAATTCTGTAGGCTGTTCTGTTGTTTACCTCTGTAGTTATAAACAGTATACTCCTACAACCATTTATTGGTTTATCAATTTTGTACTTTATTGCCTTCTCCTCCTCAAGTCCCTTAAATGTAGTCATCTGTGCATTTGTTTAACATGTTTATTAAGCACCAGCTCTGTGCCAGGCTCCATCTAGGGACTGGGGATATAGCATTGAATAAAACAAGAGTCCCTCCCTTTGTGGAGCTTCCAGTCTAGGTGAGGGAAACAATGAAAAACAAACACGCAATTTAATGTTGGAAGAGAACGAAAGCAGGATAAGAGGCAATAGCTGGATAGGTAGCAGTTGTCATTTAAGATGGGTTGTAAGGGCAGCCATTCTAAGGAGGTGACATTTGAGCAGTGACAAGAATTGAGTGAGGGAGAAAGCTTTGTGGCCATCAGGGGAATCTAGGAAAGGATGGTTCTAGGGAAGGCCAGCGT